CCTTTATAGCGTCATTGGTGGGAGATGAGCCTACAATGACTGTTGAAGTCTTGAATGAAGTGGGACAAGTGTTGGTAGAGTTTAGTGATGTGATACCAACCGAGTTACCGAAGTATTTGCCACCGAAGAGAGAGGTGGACCGCAAGATCGAGCTCGTTCCAAATACGAAGCCACCCGCTAAGGCACCCTATAGTATGGCTCCTCTGGAGTTAGAGGATCTTCGTAGACAGTTGAAAGAGCTTCTAGATGGGGGTATATCTGACCGTCGAAGGCAACTTTTGGTGCACCAGTTTCTATTCCAAAAGAAGCATGATGGCTCCCTCCGAATTTGTATAGATTATCGAGCTTTGAATAAGCTCACCGTAAAGAACAAGTACCTGATCCCGTTGATTATCTACTTGTTTGATCAACTTGGTGGTGCGAGGTGGTTCAACAAGTTAGATTTGCGGTCCGGATATTACCAAGTTAGGATAGCTTAAGGTGATGAATTGAAGACTGCTTGTATGACGTGCTACGGTTTGTATGATTTTTTTATGATGCCCTTTGGCCTCACAAATGCCCTCGCTACCTTCTGCACATTTGATGAATAAGGTATTATAACCCTTTCTTGATCATTTCATTGTGGTTTATTTTGATGACATTGTGGTGTACAGTAAGACCTTGGAGGAACACATTGAGTACTTGAGAAGGGTGTTCCAAGTCTTACAGGAGAATGAGTTCTTTATCAAAGAGGAAAAATGCTCGCTTGCGTAGAGCGAGGTACCGTTTCTAGGCCATGTCGTTGGAGGAGGCAAGCTCCAGATGGACAGGGATAAGATTCAGGCGATTGATTAGTGGAAGCAACCCACCAAGGTGATCGAGTTGAGAGCATTCTTGGGATTAGTCAACTACTATCAAGGTTTGTGAAGGTCTATTCCAAGATTACCACACCTTTGACTGAGTTGCTCAAGAAGGACAAGGCGTGGGAGTGGAGCACGAAGTTTCAGTAGGCTTTTGAGAAGATAAAGGAATCCATGATGAGTGAGCCCGTATTGGTGTTGCCAGATTACACCAAGCCTTTTGTAGTTCTCATCGATGCATCCGATGTTGCCATTGGTGAGTTCTATACAAGAGGTACATCCGGTTTCATATGAAAGCCGAAGCTGAATGAGATCGAAAGGAGGTACATGGTTCATGAGAAGGAGATGATCGCATTGGTGCACTGTATTAAACTATGTTTCGATATAACAATTTAAGGCAAATGGTTTTTGGACTTGAATTGAATTTACAAAATGGTTTTTGGACTTGAATTGAATTTACAAAATGTTTTTGGACTTAATTGAATTTATTCAAAATTTACAAAAAATAATTCAAAGTTCTTTAATTTAAAATTGAGCACAAAAATGTTTTTATGAATAGTAATTTACTATTTGAACAGTAAATTACTATTTGAACAGTAACCCGGCTCAAAATTCCAGTTTGTAAAAGGGGAACCGATTCCCCCCAAGGGGGGTACCGATTCCCTCACTGTCATCAGCCCAACGGTCATAATATTTGAATATTATGAAGGGTATCGATTCCCTATGAAGGGGTACCGATTCCCCCCATTCTGACAACCTTTTTGAGTAGAAAAATCATTCCCAAACGACTCCAAAACATCCCCAACGGCTATATACGACTTCAAACTCATTCCAAGCTATAAATACAAGCTAAGGACACTTGAAGAAGCAAGAGAACAACTATCCAAGCAATCAAACACAAGAGAAGAGTTTTTCAATCTTATTTCATCTTTCTCTTGTAAATATTTTGTTCTTGTGAGCTCAATCTTGTAAACACCTACCTTAGAGAGGTTTTCTTGTTTACATTTATTATCCTTTTGTAAAGGGGAAAGGTTCTAGCTTAGCCCGTGTAAAAGCTAGGGAAAGGTTCTAGTTTAGCCCGGAAAAACTAGGGAGTTTGTAAGGTTACTCTTTATCCTCAAAAGAAAGAACAAATTAGTGAATTTGTTGGAAAATCCTTAGTGAGGAGCTAAGGTAGTGGACGTAGACTTTGATTGAGAAAGTCGAACCACTATAAATCACTGTGCAATTCTCTATCTTTCAATCTCCTTACTCCCTAAACACAAAACCGTTCCGACCCCTCTTTGCAAATCGTTCCGGTTGTCGTTTCGAGCTTCCGAAAATCCTAACACACTGTGTGCACACTTGGCGTCACTATTTCATTGGTTCCAAATTTGTGGTTTTTACTGACATTGTTGCGAATAATTATTTTCTCACCCAAAAGAAACTTTCTTCCAAGCAAGCTCGTTGGCAAACGTTTCTTGCCGAGTTTAAATTTTTCATGGTGTACAAGCCAGGGAACATGAATTGTGTTACAGATGGCTTAAGTTGGAGGTATTCCATCGAGACTGTGGAGGGGACTTTGCTTGAAAGGATCAAAGAAAGGTTTCCCCATGACCCTGTGGCTGAAAGAATCATTGATGGAGCCAATAAGGGGAGAACTAGGGAGTTTTGGCTCAAGGGGGAGTTGCTTTATTATCGAGGACATCGTCTCTTTGTGCCTCGTTATAAAAAGTTGCGCAAGGAGCTCATGAGGGAATTCCATGATTCCAAGTGGGCGGGACATCTGGGAGTTGATCAGACTTTGGCACTAATTTCGGAGCAGTACTATTGGCCACACATGAATGAAGATGTGCATACCTATGTGAAGACTTGTCTTGTGTGTTAATAAGACAAAATCGAGGCAAAGAAATCGACGGGATTGATGCAACCTTTGCCCATTTTTGAGCACCCATGAGAGAGTATTTCCATGAATTTTATCATTGGTTTGCCCAAGACTGATGGACTTTCGAGTATAATGGTTGTGGTTGACAGGTTTTTGAAGTATGCGACATTCATTCCAGGGTCTAAGTTGTGTCCAACGGTGGAGGCGGCTAAAATTTTCCTCAAGCACGTGGTGAAGTTTTGGGGGATGCTGAAAACCATCATTAATGACCGAGACACACGGTTCACGGGGGAGGTTCTAGACGGAATTGTTTAAGCTGATGGGATCGAGCTTGAACTTTTCCGCCGTAGTTCATCCACAAACCGATAGGAAAAATGTGTAAGTGAATTCTCTATTGGAGATTTACCTGAGGTACTATGTGAGTGCTAACCAACGTGACTAGCCGAAGTTGTTGGATGTGGCCCAGTTTTCTTACAACTTGCAACGGAGTGAGGCGACAAATCAGAGTCCGTTCGATATCGTGATCGGGCATCAACCGTTGACACCCAACACGGTTGTTACCAAGTATGAGGGGCCAAATCCATCATCACACAGGGTTTCAATGAGTGGCATAAGTAACATAACTTAGCTCGAGCTTGTTTGCACAAGGTGGGGAAGCGGACCAAGAAGTGGGTTGGCCGAAAATGTAGGGACGTGAACTTTGATGTTGGTGATCTTGTCCTTTCAAAATTGTCCAATGTTTTGCGAAATGCAGATGTGCACAAGGGGCTTGTGTGAATGTACGAGGGTCCATTTCGAGTTGTGAAGTGGGTAGGCACTATGGCCTACAAATTGGAGTTGCCTCCAACCATCCGAGCACATCTCGTGATCTATGTTAGTCTACTCAAGCCGTACTATCAGGATGTAGAGGATCCGGATCGAGGCAAGTCACATCGAGTACCAGTCGGAGTAAAGGTCTCCTATGACAAGGAGATTCAGGACATACAAGAGGAAATAGTTATTCGACGACCGGGACACCGCCTTAGGCATGAGTACTTTGTTTTATGAAAGGGACAACCAGAGTGTGAAGGGAGTTGGGAGCATGCCGAGGGACTTTGGAAATTCAAGACCATGATAGACCAGTTTCATGCCATACGAGTGACGAAGGCGTCACCGGAACCAATGGGGGAGAATGTCACAGACCACGAGCCCACAACTGAGGTCAACACAAGAGAAGTAGCCCAAGATTACTTAAGTGGCATTTTGGGCCTTCCTAGACCCATGAAGACCGGCCCATTCCATGGAGATGTAGAGCCTTGCATGTTTATGGCAGGAGAATCCTTGGTTTAATGCAAAATTCTCATGATTCTTTCCATAAACTTTGTAATCTTTTATCTAAGGCACATATAACTAGCTTGATAGAGTTTCCTTAGTTAAGAAAAAATCTTGTAAATACAATTATTTAAGATATTATATTCGATCTAGGCCGTCGATACACTTAGATCTTAACCGTTCATTGAGGGGAGCTTCCACTATAAATAGAGGCTTCTCTTCCTCATTTGTACTCACTTCTTCATTTTGAGAAATCATAGAGCAGTCTCTCATACTTTTGTCTTGCTTTTGTTCTTGTTAGTTCTCTTGTTCTTTGATTTTGTTGGGAATCTAAGCATCTTTGCTTGGATTGTTTCAGGTTGATTTAGCCGCTATCACAAAGAAAGCAACTAAGGCTGCACGTTTTAGGCGTTGAAGTTTCAAGGGCTTGACAATGTGATATTTTGTACAGTGCACGTGCCTCACGAACAGAAAGAGTTGGAAATAACATAATTTTGGCATTTCATTGCTTGTACAGCAAATGTGCAATCTTTTGGATTGCAAAATAATTTCTTCAAGCCTATCCTTTTACATCAAATGTGAGTACATGCAAGGCAGTTCTCAGGTGGCCTACACTGAATACCATTGCTCCCATTAGAGATGATTTTTATAAGAGTGGGATGAGATTTAAATAGTTTAGGATGTTTTTAAACAAAAATTAATCATATTTTCCTTATTCAAATTGAACTTATAGATGTAGTTTTTTAAAAACAATTTAAGTCAACATGAGAACAACATAATTATATATATATATATATATAATACAGTATTTTTTCAAGATTAAAAAATATATAAATTCGTAATAGTTTTATTTTGTAAAATAAAAATAATATCTCAATAAAAGAGTATAAAATTACTCTCTTCAAATAATACACAAATAAAAAAATTGAATTAAATGAATTGAAGTATTTCTTTGTTCGATTCAGTGTTACGTTGGTTTATTTGTTTCAGTTGCAATCAGCGTTTTGATTGGAAGACGTATCATCATCAACACGACCCGAATCAGGTTGATGTGAACCGGCCACACCCATCAAGCTTGCCAGGCTAGCAAAAGCCAAAAATGAATGTAAAATCTCCAAACCATTAATCTCCACATCTTCCAAATTTCTCCGATCACTGTCGCCGCCTCCGGTTTCGACTGTCTCTGTAGGCATCAGAAACCGACAAACCGGGCACGTTCCATGGATTTGCAACCACTTCTCAATACAACCCGAATGAAACACGTGCTTGCATGGCATCTCCCTGGCTTCCTCATCAATTTCAAACTCTTCCAAACAAATAATACAATCGCTACCACTCTCTTTCACTTTTATCCTTGGCATTGCTTCTATGGAAGCTTTTGGCGCAGGCGCCGGCCCGGGTTTACTGCCAGCGTCCGCTCCACCGACGCCAAGGTGAAAAACAACGTAGAAGACCGGACGAGGTTGTTGGGTTTGGGTGGGAGCCTCCGCCATGCCAGCGTAGGAAAATTAAAGATTTAATTTTTGTTTTGGCAGATGGAAATAAAAGAAGACAAGGTTTTTTTTTTTAATAGAGGAGAGAGTTTCTGAAGATTGCAGATTCTAGAATGTTGATGATGTACCAACTTAGAATGCAGCTTTCTAATTTCTATTTTACTGTGTATTTCATCCTAATCGGTAAAGAACCGCTATATTTGAATATGTATTAGTTAAGTATTCTATTTTTGAAATTATTTATATTTTAAGATATTTATGTACCAATAAAAGCAAGAATCATTTAATTAAATTTTTTTCGAGGATTCCTTTCTAAAATTAACAGTAAAGATAACGGTAAGATTATTAACGGAAGAAAATATTAAATGAATTAAAATAAGTTCATATATTATTCGGGGCACACCAAAAGGACACAATGGCGATAGAAGAATTATGTTCCTCTTCGGCTGGATACAATAAATATACTAAAAGTATCATTTGTTATTTATATTTGATAATCTGTAAGAGTGATCGAGGAGAGCCCGCATATGAAAGGAGAAAATGAACTGAGAAACTTGATAAGCAAATTCAGTTCTTTGCTTGTTTTCATTTGTCCAACAAGAAAATATAAAAGCTGAATGCTAATATTTGAGTACCTCCTATTCATATTCATCGAACGAAAACACTTAACCTACCAGCATCGAAAGCATAAACATAAAATCCATAAAATAATTAAATGAAATCCCAAATTTCTTTAAAAAAAAAGACTAATTAGAATCAATTTCCAATTTTCAGACCCTTGGACCAACTCGTCTAGCCGTAGTTTTGCTTGCAGTGTCAATCAAAGACACAGAAGAATTGTAATTATTGACAGGCTTCTTATTATCTTTGGTCATGCTCATGCTTCGGAGCGAATACCTGGGAGTCTGAATCTCATTCCTTTCCACGGAATAAGCAGCAGACACCGACTTCCTCAAGCTCTTCAGCTTCTTCGACTGTATTCTCTTTGAAGATTCAATGGTTACTCCAAGTCCAAGATGGTGCCCATTCTTCGACTCTGTCCCCGTTTCGCCTTTTCTTCTCTTCAGCCTCTCGTTTCTCCTCGCCGAGTACTCCTCGTAAAACCTGCCTCTCTCGAACAGAGTAGTCGAGTTTGCGCCGAGACTAGTCTCGCCAAAACCAGCGTTCTCCGTTTCCGCGTTCCCAATTTCACATTTAACCATCCTAGCCAAAGCACGTAACTCGCTAGAAATGGACAAATATTCAGGTCGAATCTCAGATTCTTCACTGCTCCAAGAACGAACCGGCTTATTTTATTTCGTCAAAGAACCTTTGAAAACAAACAGACAAACAAACCTTCATTCCAAAAAAAATCGAAAAATTAAACGAAATTACGAGTTGCAATATGAGCTGTAACCGTGGTCACGGTTGATAATGAAATAATAATTGTTATTATTTTTTTAACAAAATTGATAAAAAATTACCGAAAATATTATTATTTCTATCGGTTTTATTATTATTAGACGTTTTAAAGATTTTGTTAACATATCCGGTAAAGCGCTATCTATTTTGTTATTTTTCTACAAGTTTTATTATTATTAAGTACTTTACAGAAATGTTAAAAAAATTAATATTTTAGATAAAAATAATAATATTTTAAATATTTTTTTATTAATTTTATTAAAAAAATAAAAAAAATCGAATTAATCTTATTATTAAGGCTGCCGAGTAGAAGTTTCTCAGAGTGCAAAGAGTTGAATTTTCAGATTTCGGTTACTTGATTAAAAGTATGTCGGCTATTTTATTGTGAGAAATTGACGTTAGGTTTTGAAATTGCAAGAGAATGGAAGATAAGGGAGCGTTTCAAACGGTCATATCTTTTGATCTGACGGTTCACAATAATTTCATATCTAAATGGTAATTGACAGTTCACTTTCCATGAATAAACAAGAACCGATTAGATCAATAGACACAAGTAGCCCATATCCATACGTCTCCCACCACGATCAATACTGAAATGACCCAAACAAACCAGTTTGACCGAATGCAACGTGTAGAATCAATTTTTGTTATTAATTTCTTGGATAAGATGTTAGATATCATTATATTATATTTGATTATTAAACTTTTAAAATTTATAAAAAATATTATTAAATTTAAATAATATGGATAAGTAGTGTCATTGAAGAATTTCAATGGCCGTAAACTTATCGAAACAGGAAAATTTCATAAAATGAACAATAGTAATATAATTTTATAACAATAGCATAAAATATTCGCAAGAGGTTGAAATGTTTTAAATGGGGTTTCTCGGCAGGGGGAGGAGTTGATCTTAACCGGAATTGGGGTGTAGATTAGGGAAGGGATATGCAGGTTTTCATTTGCTTGTTGAGCGATTTCATTCAAAACATTTCTTCAAGACTATGACCCAAACGAAGAGTATCCTGGAATTGCTCCTTTCAGCGAGCCTGAAACCCAAATCATGTGAGAAATTGCCACATCATTTAATCCTCACATTTAGGTTAACGTACACTCTGGGACAACAGTAAGTGACGTTGAATTGCCAATGACTGTCCTACAATTAGGATTGGGATTGAAGAAGTCAAAATGACTCTTAGAAAGATGGGGAGGGACAAAGTTGTCGGTCCAGATCAAATTCTTATCACTGTGTGGTTGGCCTTACGAGAAGAGGGAGTTAAGTGGTTAACCAACATCTTTAATATTATTTTAGAGACTGCCAAGATGCCAGAGGAGTGGAGAGAGTCTACGGTGATACCAATCTATAAGAATAAAGGAGATCCCCAACATTGTGGTAACTACAGGGGTATTAAACTACTCAGTCATACCATGAAGCTATGGGAAAGGGTGATAGAGGCTAGGTTGAGACAGGTTACTAGGGTTTCGGAAAACCAATTTGGCTTTATGCCAGATAGGTCTACTACGGAGGCGATTCATATACTTCGACGGCTTATGGAGAAATATAGGGAAAAAATAGAGATCTTCACATGGTGTTCATTGACCTTGAGAAGATGTATGATAATGTTCCCCGCGATACGATCTGGAAGATCTTGGAAACGAGACGGATCCCAACTGCTTATATCCGGCGATTCATGATATGTACTGTAGATCTACTACATACGTCAGGACTACAGTTGGTGATACCGAGGCATTCCCGGTGGAAATCGGACTCCACAGGGGTCATCTCTTAGCCCTTACATCTTCTCCTTGATTATGGACGGCATCTATTGTGCGACACCAGACGGTGTTCCATGGTGTATGCTTTTCGTTGACGATATTGTCCTAGTTACTGAAACAAAAACTGTGCTGAATAGTAGACTGGCTACCTGGAAGACTGCTTTGGAAGAAAAAGGTCTAAGTATCAATATTGAAAAGACATAGTATTTATGTTCAAACTTCAGTGGGAGCCAAAACGATGAAGATGTAGAAGTATGCATAGAAGGACACGTTCTCCACTCAAAGGATTGTTTCAATTACCTATGGTCTATGATACATAAATATGAGGGTGTAGATGATGATGTTACACACCGTATAAAGGCAGGATGGCTAAAGTGGAGGGCTGCTACTGGAGTTTTGTGTGGTAAGAAGGTGCCTCTAAAACTTAAGGGAAAATTTTATAGAATGGCAATAAGACCAGCGCTCCTGTATGGATCAGAATGTTGGGCAATCAAAAAGGATAACGTAAGGAGAATGGAGGCCGTAGAAATGAGAATGCTTCGGTGGGCATGTGGTAGGACTCTGTGGGACATAACACCAAGCTCTGCAATTAGGATGTCCTTGGGGGTGGTGCCTGTATCCGAAAAATTGAGGGAGGGAAGACTACGGTGGTTTGGGCATGTCCTTAGGCGATAACCGTCAGATGTGGTCAGGAGGGTAGAGTCGATTACAGTCGATGGTGCCAGAAGGAGAGGACGACCAAGGAGGAAGTGGGTAGACTGCTTGAGATCTGATTTGAAGGATTTAGCCCTTACCGAGGACATGACCTCTGATAGGAAAGTATGGAGACTTAAGACTAGGGTAGCCGAGTAGTGTGGGTCACATCCATAGGGTGTAGCATATCTGTCTTCTTTTTAATGCATTTGTAGTAATTTCCATAACTTCTACTTTTTATACATTTCTGACATTAGAATTTATGAAGGCTTAGTTCTTAGTGTAGATTTTAACCCATTTGACTTTATTCCATCTCGTAGCTTGCTATCGTTGACTTCTATGTATCATTCTCTTCATGTTTCCTCTTTTTAAATTTATCAAGGTCTTACGTTTCTGTCTATATGCAGAGATTTTACGCAGAGATTTATTTGCGGGGATTACTTCCCATTACAGACGCGCATTTGAAGAGTGCATAAAAAGGTTGTTCAACTATGTATTTATTATTTATACATGCATTGTGTTTTATATTTATTTTTAATTTTCTGACTACCGGAGGTCTTCTACAGAAGCTGCTCTCAACTTGGCATTGGGGGCAGCCTACTACCCTACCTCCCCCTTACCCCATTTCATATGGGAATAGGGTTTTGTTGTTATTGTAAAGCTATACATAAATTTGAAGTTTTTGGATGTTACTATTACCTCTTAGTTTGAATGATAAAAGGTAATGTTGTAAAATATTATTATTAATATTTACTAATAAATAGTTATAAAAACAATTTTTTTATTATTATATCTGAGTATAAATCAATACCTTATAGTAATTTCGTTTAGGGTGATATAATCACTTTAGTGGATGTTCTCTCAAAGTTAATACATCTGAAGTGAAGAAGAGGAACATATTTCTATTACTCTCTTTGATAGAAAGTGTTTTAGAGAACGGAATTACGAAATCATCAAATGTGTATTTAATTAGGGACAAACACTATTCCTTTTCATAAGGATAATAGAAAAATAAATTTATAATATTATAACTCTCCACTTTAACAACTCCCTACATATGAATAACTCACCCTAAATTTACCCTCTACTATATGCATTACTCACGTGCGTTGCTTTAGTAAGGTTTGAGTTCAAGCCTTGGATGTATAACACCAACAGACTGATGTAAGTGACTCGATCCGATCCGAGGTGTCACATTAGGGCCACCAGAGCGACCAACGGTAAAAATCCCGAAAAAAATTAAGATTTCTATTAAAACTTGTAAAATTATAAAACAATTATAATTAAAATACAAGTTTAGAAAACCATTCATATACTACAAACAGAATTAAAATCATACACGTTTCAAACTCGGATATAAAAACATAATACAACCTACATGCCCCTAATCACATGCACTGTACTCCAGGAGTAACGCCAGTGGAACTCCAATACTAATGTCGATAGTTGCACTTGATCAATTCTTTTAACCTAAAATTACGAGTAACAGAGTGAGCTTTGGGAAGCTTAGTAATATAGAACTACCAAAAGATGCTTAAGGACATGCAAATAATAGGCAAGCAAAATTTTCCTTATTAATTCTTACATATACATATTTTTGTTTTGAGCTGAAACCCTAATAGTATTTCAGGTAGTAAAAGACATGAAGTTTACAATTCACAGGGAACGTTCAGAGAACCAGGTTTAGAGATCAGAATAGGGTGTCTAGTGTGTTCCCACAAAACCAGTGAAAAGGTACAAATCTTTTTAAAATAATAATAGTTTAAAATGTATATTTAAAACCATACCCTCCAACCAAACACCAATATGCAGTTCCCCAGAGCTACATTCATAAGGACTAACCTAGGCCCATTGGGCATATGTGTCAATCTAGGGGAACACCTTGGGTCCATAGGTCTTACCCTAACCGAAGCATAGGTGCCCACTGAGGGGAGTGCCCACCTGAGAGGAGTGCCCACCTGAGAGGAGTGCCCTCAGATTCATAAGGACTTACCCAAAACAAATAGAAGATGTGTCACCCTAAGGCAGTACTAAGGTCTTACCACTAGGCCTAGGAGCCCACCCAAGAGCCACCTTAGATCTATAAAAAATTGCCAGTTCGATCGGTTTGAACCTATATAAGGAATTACCGGTTTGATCGAGATGAACTTGCAGAGACTTCATACCAGATCCTAAAGTACCCCAAAGAAAATCATTTTTTCAGACATTAACATGTGGTAGTAGGAAATCAAAGTTTATACATATCAATTATGAAGAAACGATATCCAGAGATCATGAATCAGATAGGCAGAGTGATAGCAGGAAATCAAAGTTTAGACATATCAATTCAGTAGAA